ACACATGTGCTAGGTGAATGCTCTACCGCTGAGCCACAACCCCAGCCCTTAAGGATTTCTCTTAATCAACTTTTACTATTTTATAAAAATAGCAAAGTCTTATTTTAAAAGTCAAGAATTCTGAATTTTTACTCATTCAGAAAATCTTTTCTCATTTGCTTGAGTTAGTAAGATATTTTCTGCAGTTTATTTATAACACCTAATCAATATAGAAGAGGCAGCATCTTTCAACTTATACCTGCAGAAACTCATTAGCTTGTATTTCAACACTAGCAAATATCAAGTGGTCACCATTAAATTTCATAACCTTTTAAATCTGACCTTTCAAAGTTCTTATCATTCTTCTCTTAAATTAAGGGTAGAATAACCATAATCAATCAAAAAGTCTACATAAAAGAATTAATTTTATTGAAATTCAATAAATATAATTCAGAGCTTTGATTTAATTATAAAGTATTTGTGTCCTCGATTTATTCCTTACAGCAGATTAGAGAAGAAATTTGGATTATGAATCTTTTCTACCTGAAGCAGAAATTCCTTTCAAGACAAAAACAACCAAATGTCACATGAATTTTAGTTGACCGAAAACATGGGTTCAAGTATAAATGACATGAACCTCAGGTGTTTACGGCTGGATTTTCCACTTGTTTCAGAAAACCTGAAAAAATAGTGTAACAGCAAAGGCTTGTTTACTTAATTGGCTAAATCTTTCTTTAGGTCTAATCTTTTGAAAGGGAAGCAAAATATCACTTAAAGTGCATTTTTTAAAATTATTTTTTATTTTATTAAAGTGCATTTTTTTATACTATGAAGAAAGAATGTCATAATAGTTGAATATTGTGGATGTTTTAAAGTTCTACCCAACTTTAAATCCTAAGCTTGAAATTAAAAACTTATTTATCAAACATTACAAATAAAGCTATGAACATCTACAGCAGTGGAAAAACCGAAACTATGTCTTTTGTTCTGCTGAGGAGTCATCCCGTTGGGAAAACAGTGTTTAGAGACTCTTCAACAATGCAGACTGTTAGAAATAGAAATAAAGAAACACATGTTAGTAGTATGCCTTTTGGGGGGTGAGAATAGTGATGTAATCTTTCTCTTTCCTAAGAGCCCACATAGTGCTGTGCATTAGCTATTTTATTGATATTGGGAAAAATTGAAACCTATTTGATACAAAAAGCATTGATCACAAATTAATATGTATCCATGAAGCTTTTAAGAATATTCAACCACATGAAAAAAGTGAGGGAAATAACAGTCAACTTCACACTACTGACTTGCAAATCTGAAGAATAACATATTCTATACAGTGTAACAACATTTTAGCTCTATAATTAGAAAAATTATAAATGTAATATTGAATAAGTATTGAGTGAAAATAATGAGTAAAAATCAGAGGGCTGAGGTTGTGGCTCAGTGGTAGAACACTTGCCTAGCTGTGTGAGGTACTAGATTATATTTTCAGTACCACATTAAATAAATAAATAAATAATGGTCCACTGACAACAATACACACACACACACACATACATACACACACACACACACACACACACGAAACTCAGATATTGAAAAGGATGTATATGACATCCTCTAAAATCAGCCAATAATACAAAAAATGTATGTAACGAGCATTTATATAGTTTATAGTACTTCCCCTTGACAGGTCAGAAACAAACAGCAAAAGAACTGTGTAATATATGACCACACTTCTTGACTAAGAAATCTGTGACCTTCCTACCAATCTTCTTGCCTCCAATATAGATAAACCCAACATGATTTAAAGAACACTTCTTTGTGAGACAATGGTTTAAAGTAACATTTTGGGAAAAGATTATTGTGGTAAAAATGACAAATGATTAAATCTGTGGCCAATGCACATGAAAGTCCAATAACTAGCACATTAACTATGGTGGACTATACTAAGACATCCTCCTGTGGCCCAAGTTGAAGGACCATTAAGGAGCAGTTTTCATATCACTTACATAATTTTTTTTGAACTCACCACCACTTTTTACTAAGGCTTATCTATGGCCAGGAAGAAGAATGGATTTATTTCTGCAGGTATAAGCTGCATTAATGAACCTAATACTGTATTCCCACAATGATCAAACTTTTGGAAAAAATGAGCTAAAACAGAGTCACTTCTATTATTTAGAGAAACTATGACTCATGTATAGAGTTTCAGACTACATGTTTAGTTTACTCATTGAAAAAATATTTTCTGAATATTATCATATGCTCAGTATTTAAACCTATATGGGATACTGCAGAAGATTCCGAGATGAATTAAAAAGTGGACTTGGGGCTAGAGTTGTGGCTCAGCAGTAGAGCGCTCACCTAGCACATGTGAGGCCTTGGGTTTGATCCTTAGCACCACATATAAATAAATAAATAAAGATATTTAATTAATAAAAAGAAATAGATTTAACATCTAAAGGGGTCAGCAAACTTTTTTTTTCTATAAAAAAACAGATAGTAAATATTTTAGGCTTTGGGTAGGCCATGCAGTCTCTGTTGCAAGTAAATATTTTAGGCTTTGGGTAGGCCATGCAGTCTCTGTTGCAAACACTTAACTCTGCCATTACAGCATAAGAGCAACCATGGACATGAATAAGTGTGTGTAGTTGTGTTTCAAAAAAAGTTTAATCATAAACACTGGTGGCTGACCAGATTGGGCCCACAGACCACGGTTTGCTGACTTCTGGTATAGAATCATTGACAGGATGTATCCCAGTAGTTTCAACAGACTTGACCTCTCTCTTCAGGCTTTTATTATTTCCTGCCTGTTATAAAAGTTCCCTTCTCTTGTCTTATGTCATTGACTCTACTCCCCTAAATACTCCACTTGACACAGCTGCCAGACTGATACGGTTTTAACAATATTTCACTGCTATTCTTAAAACTCTTCAATGGCTTAGCACTACTGGCAGAAAAATAAAGTCCATATTTTTAGTAGAGTATAAAAGACTCTTTGTGCTCCATCCCTTGCTTTAGTCATCTGACTTATACAACAATGTTTCTCTCCTAGTACCCCTTCCCTGACTTCTGTGCTGAAGCAGTACCAAATTACTCAACACATCATGCTGTTTTATTGTCCTGATCCTTGGCATATGGTTTTCCTTCTACCCACTAAGAGATATTCATATCCACACAGATAATTGCTCTGTGGTTTCTCTCACCCTATGTTGACCACACCTGATACTTTTAAACTTCCTTACCTTGCATATACTTTCAATGACTGGATAGGGAGGATCAGACTGGGAGCTACTCAATGGCAGGCAATTTACTTCTCGCAACTATAGCATTAACTCCTAGCACAGTGCACAGTATACTGCAGACTCTGAATAAATCTATTTGGACCAAAGTCAACTGGAGGCATTCTAATAATACATTACTATTTCAGGAAGAAAGAGAGCACATCATTCTTGGAAGGGAGAATCAGAAAAAGTTGGAGGACAGGGTAGCATATGAGACAGATAAATATAGAGGGTAAAGATCCTCAAATAAGGGGGAAAAAAAGAGCAGAGAAGTTGAAAAATAAATTAATGTCTGATAACTAGTAACCATCAAGTATTTTGGTTTGGCTAAAGTATATGGAGAATAATCAGGAAAACATCTGGAAGGGCTAATTATAGGCAGACCTAGAGAACTTTAAAGACCAGGCTAAGAAATATTTATTTTGCTCTGAAAATAACAGAGTCATGAAGGGTAGAATGATCATGATTTGAGATGGGAAAATTAGTCAAAGAGAAGATGGGTGGTGGCAGTTGTTGAGAGCCACAGCCGAGTCAGGATGGTGCAGTGAAAACTGAAGGATACTGAACAATACCTGCAAATGACATGATATGGGACACAGAAGTAGCAGCAATTAAAGATAATCCTGAATTTTTAAGTCTGAGAATAAACAGTGAAATAGAAGCAGGAAGAAAAGTAGTAAAAAAGGGTATTTGGTTTTGGAAAATTAAATATGAGACATGAGAAAACATGGGTGGGAGCATTTAAAATGAATCTGAAAGTAGGAAACAGATATGTTCAAGAAATGTGATATAAATCTGGGAGTCATCTGTCTATAGTTGATAACTAAAAACTGAAGAAAGGAGCTAGGATCAAGAACACTTTATTTATCAAACCTATCAAAAGAAAAGCATAGAGGTATGTATTTCTGCCATAGTGTCTATAACATTATTGTAATAATTTGCAAACATGTTTGCTTCCCTGACTTTGAACCCTTTGAGAGAAGAGGTCATGATTTATTATCTTGCATCTCCAGCCTATTATTTCAAAATTGCAAGTATTTGGCATATTTGCTAAATGTAGCAATCTCTATAGTTCTAATATCCAACTTATGATATATTAAGGTACAAATGAATATGGTGCAAAGATTTTTTTATTTTTTATTTTATTTTTTTGGTACTGGGGATTGAATCCAGGGGCTCTTAACCACTGAGCCACATTCCCTGCACTGCCCCACCACCTTTTATTAAATTAGAGACAGGGTCTCAATGAGTTGCTTAGTGCCTTGCTAACTTGCAGAGGCTGGCTTTGAACTTGAGATCCTCCTGCTCAGCCTCCCGAGCCACGGAATTATAGGCATGTGACACTGCACCCAGTCCAGTGCAAAGGTTTCGAAAAACTTCAAAATCTTTAATTCAAGGGCTAGGAGTGTGGCTTAGTGGCAGACTGCTTTCCTAGTGCACATGAGGCCCTGGGTTTAATCCCCAATAACACATACACAAAAAAATAAGTAAATGAAACCTTTGCTATATGCATCTGTGTAAGATGAAGGCAAAATAAGGTAGTGGTTACTATTGGTAGCATTGTCTTTCTTTCTGGTATTCTAAAGATTGAGCAGTGGACACTTAATTCTTACTTCTTTATCATCTCTTTTCTCTATCAGAAGTCAGTCTACCTGCCTTGGCATGCTTGATAGGAAAAAGAACGTGAGCATGGTACTAAGAGAACTGCAAACACCTAGTTGAGTTGGTTTTCCTGACCTTTATGTGTCTGTTCATAGCAGTGGATTGTGCTGCTCGCACCAGACCCTCCAATTCAGCACCACTGAAATTCTTGGTCTCCACAGCTAATTCTTTAATGTCTACATCAGCAGAGAGTAACTGATGTCCTCTCATTCTTGCTGTGTGGATGTGAAGGATCTGTAGTCGACCTTTCTCATCTGGCAAGCCTGAAAAAAATAAAATAGACATACATTTGCTTTCTCTCGAGAGCCCTTAAGACATAATTATATGGGCTGGGGATGTGGCTCAAGCGGTGGCGCGCTCGCCTGGCATGCGTGCAGCCCAGGTTCGATCCTTAGCACCACATACAAACAAAGATGTTGTGTCCACCGATAACTAAAAAATAAATATTAAAATTCTCTCTCTCTCTCTGAAAAAAAAAGAAAGAAATTGTCTTTAAAAAAAAATACATAATTATAATCCTAATGCTTTTCTTCTAGGTGCTCAAGCACGCAAACACCTTCTTCTCATGATATAGAATTTTTTTTTCTCTTCCATAGATATAAAATTTTCTAACAAAATTTAAATTAGGTGAGATTGCTCCTCTTAATGAACTCTGAATGCTATAAGCATTTACATGTGCACACAGAACACATGGGTGCATGCACACAGCACAGCCATCAGTGACAGATCTACTTACCTATCTCCATTTTAACTTCCAGTCTTCCGGGTCGAAGGAGAGCCTCATCTATCAGATCTGGTCTATTGGTCATTCCTGAATGCAGTTGTGAAAACAAAGTGACAAACAAATGATCAGAGTTTGAAAATAATATAAAATGTCCCTTCAGTATAGTAATTTCTCTAACAAGCTAAGAAGACATTTTATAAAAGTCAAATGGTAAACCAACTTATTCTCAAATAAAAACCAACATTCAGTCTTGATCTATTCTAATGAAAATATCAAGAGATTTTGCTTTAGTATTTCACTACTTTACAAGCAAACAGAATACAAAAGTAATGAAAACTTTCAATAATTAAAAAGAAAATTTCAGGTTCAGAGAAGGTAAATGACCTGTTAAGGTGATGGGGGCAATGTGAACATAAACTCTCTGATTTCAAAGTCCTTCCCATTTTTTAGGCCAGTCCTAAACCTTCATAAAACAGCTCTGCACACCCCATCCAAAATCATCAGGAAGTAGCCCAGGACATAAAACAGTTAAAAAAAATAGTGACAATAGTGATGTAGAATCTGAGGGCCTTGGGGGCCTGCTGTAATGCAGGTTGAAAACCACTGCATCACACAGCGCTGCCTTTTTCATTAAACCTACAATTCACTAAAACCCAACTTTTATTTATCCTATTAAAACCCAACATGCAAATAGTCTTCAACATCACTTGATTCTAATTTGGAGACAATGACACAATTACAACCTACACAGATCTCATGTTTTTGGAAGACTAGAACTTTTCTAAATGAAAATATACATACCAATGACAAGGATATTGTTCAGCTGTTCTACCCCATCAATTTTGGACAGCAACTGGTTGACGACAGTGTCATGAACTCCAGTGCTACCAGCCATGCTCCCTCTCTGCTTGCAGATGGCATCAATTTCATCAAAGATGATGATGTGCAAACCACTGTTAGCACCAAGCTATTAAGGGAAGAAATTATGTTAAAGGTCACAATTTAAATGTATTATTAAACAAATTAATCAAAAAAGCAAAACAAAGCTTTCAACAGTTTGATTTCACTCTAGTATGACTAATAAATGTAGCAAGTATAATTTAATCACAGTTGATGCTCTCTCAAAGGTATTAGAACTCTATTTTCAGAATTCTACAAACCAAAAAGACATCCCTGAACCTCACATTTAACAGTCATAAAACAAAAATATACTGTTATATAGTATTTATATACATATATATAAAGTAAACAGTCCATCAAATAACTAAATGTGAATTTATATGTATGTCTTATCTTATTACTTGAAAGAAGAATTCTTACACCTCTCAGATGCATTTGTTAAGTCAGTGAGGAGCAACTTCCTCCCATTTTCCCTGGGTTTGGGTGAGAAGACTGTCCCAGAAGCAGTAAGTTTAATGTTTGTTTTGCCATATTATATAGCTAACGATTAACTCCACCCAGGGGGTGGCTGGGAATTGGGCAAATGATGAAGAAACTGAACGTGATTCAAATTTACTTACATCACATGAAAACAGATTATTTTTCTCTTAAGAGTAAAGTGGGAACAGAGAAACGGTTTATAAGAACATGGTAAAGGGGTCCTATTTCTTCTGCATAGTGATTTCTGCTTTGATATTGTAAACAGCCATCATCAAAAGACATTAGTTTATGTTTATGTATTTCTGACCTTTAATAGATACAAATACTTTTTTTGGGTGTGGTGCTGGGGATTGAACGCAGGTCCTTGTGCATTCAAGGCAAGCACTCTACCAACTGAGCTGTATTCCTAGCATGAAACAAATACTTTTGAATGTTAATTTATTAGACTAAATTAACACAGACCTTCTAACAATTTATATTCAATTAAGCCACCTATTAGGGACCAAAGGAAGAAGAACATGCTAGAAATGTTTTCTTTTTCTTAAAAATTTTAATTGACACGTAATAACTGCACATGTTTATGGGGTACAGTGTGATACTGCAATATATACATATAATGTAGAATGATCACACCAGGGTAACTGGCAAATCTAACACTTCAAACACTTATCATTTCTTTGTGTTGGAAATATTCAAAATCCTCTCTACCAGCTATTTTGAAATATACAGCTAATTCTTGTCAGCCATAGTTCTTTTTCTTTCTTTTTTATTTTTAACACAAAAAAGAACCTTAGGAGCTGGGCACAGTGGCACATACCTGTAATCCAGCCACTCTGGGAGGCTGAGACAGAGAATTGCAAGTTTGAGGTTGGTCTTACCAACTTAGTGAGATCCTGTCTCAAAATAAAATAAAAAGGGGTGGGGATACAGCTCAATGGTACAGTGGTAGAGCAGCCCTGGGTTCAATATCCCAACCCCCCCCCCACACACATATTGGGGATTAAAATAAAACAAAACAGAAAAAAATAAACATAACCTAAATATAACAGTACATGAATAACATAAATTAAACGATGAGCATAGTGAGATTGAGGATTATGAGGCTAAAATTGTTTTATTATAAAAATAATAAGTGTGTTAACTGAGAAAAATTTGTAAAATACAAATAAAGTTTAAAAATAAACTACACTGGATCACCTAAAGATAACTGCTATTAACATTCTACAGATTTATTTCTACATTTTAAATTTAATTTAAAATTGAAAATTCACTGTACCTTGTATTCTCTTGAATGTTAACTATTCTTTAAGAACAATTCCAAATGGCTATTTTTATTTCTAATTGCAAAATATATGACTATAGAAATTTTAGAAAAATATAAAAAAAATTGAGATCACAATCACCTCAAAGTTAATCAGCCAAGATGCTGCTATATAATATTTTATATTCTGCTCTATTAAGTCCAGTCTTTATTTTAAATCCTTTTCCATAACTACCCAATGATTTTTAATAGCTTTATACTAGTTCATTATGACTAGTTCCACGGTTTAACTCCCATACTTAATACCTTATTAGATATTTATATATATGTTGCTTCACAATATATATGATTATTTTCTAAAGGCAATTCTTAGGTCAAAGGTTTGTCGAGTATTTTAAGGAACCTGAGAAGGGTGTCAAACACTTTTCCAGAAAGGTTTTCTCAATTTGTAATCTCACCACGGACTATGACAGTGCCTGTTTTGGCAGAGATTCACAAATAATGAATATTAGAAACATTTAAAAAGTAATTCTCCAGCTGGTGTTGTGTAGAGTACTTGTCTTGCATATGTGAGGAACTGGGTTGATCCTCAGCATCAAATAAAAATAAATAAGTAAAATAAATATATTGTGTCAATCTATAACTAAAAATATTTTTTTAAAGTATTAACAGTGGCATCCTTTGTGAGTTTTTTTTAAATTTTATTTTTCAGTGCTAGGGATTGATCTTTCTATAAACCTTTAAATCACATTTGTCTAAATACAGGCTGAAGAGGCTAGAAGTTTTGCATCCCCCACCACCACCACGCTGGGGTCTCACACCTGCTGGGCTCTACTACTCAGTGCTCTACCACTCAGCTATACCCAGCCCTGTAAATTACATTTTTCATCATTGTGAGTTCTCTTATTTGATGTCTTCTGTACATTTTTCTACTAGAATTTAAAGTTTTTATTATTGCTTTATAAAAAGTGTTTTATGAAGGAAATTATTATATTTGTTGCACATATTTTATCCCAGTTTGCCATTTGACTTGATAAGTGAAAGTTTTTTTGTTTGGTACCAGGGATTTAACCTAGGAACACTTAACCTCTGAGCCACAACCCCAGCCCTTTTTTATATTTTATTAGAGACAGGGTCTTGCTGAGTTGCTTATTCCTCACTATTTGCTGAGGCTGACCTTGAACTTGTGATCCTCTAGCCTCAGGCTCCTGAGCCACTGAGATCACAGGTGTGCACCACTATGCCTGGCAAGTGAAGATTTTCATACTATTTAAATAGTCAACATTATTAGTTTTTATTTTTTCTATGTTTTCTGTTACATTAAGCCTTAAAATTCTTCCCCATTATAGACACTAATGGTCACCTACCTTTACTGCTCTTTAAATTAATTATACTACATATAATCATACAATTTTTTTTTTTTTTTTTAGCACCAGAGATTGAACCCAGGGATGTTTAACCACTGAGCCACATCTCCAGCCCTTTCTTTGTATTTTATTTAGAGACAGGGTCTTGCTGAGCTGCTAAGTACCTCACTAAGTTTCTGAGGCCAGCTTTGAACTTGTGATTCTCCTGCTTCAGCCTCCTGAGTTGCTGGGATTTCAGGCATGCACCACTGCACCCGGCCATTACATACAATTCTTTATCTGGGATATTTTATTTTTGAGCCACATCTCCAGCTTACCCCCAAGAGAGGTAAGAATTCAAATAATTCTTCAAATAGTTAACTAACTGACCCAATACTATTGACTAAGTAACCTTTCCTTTCTCCACTGGTTTAGATGCCATCTTTACCAGGCTTTGGATTTTATGCATTCTAGATATTACCAGTTCATCTGTTCTGTCCTGGGATTCACAGATGTTAATATCTCTGTAACTATAGTAGTAGGTTAGGCAGGTTTTTCAAGACTTTTTCAAGACTATCTTGGCTCTTTCCAACCATATGTACTTCTATCAGATAAAAAACAGCCTCCACCAATTATAAATAAGAAAGAGAGTAAGGAAAAAAAAAAAAGAGGAATTCAAGCTTTGATTAGAATTAGACTAAATCCTGAAAATAGTTTAGGAAACACTAATATTATATCCTTATTTGGGTGGTGGGTCTATTAATCTATACACATGTTAAAATTCATAAAACCATACACCAGAAGAGAAAAAAACAATTTTACTGTATTAYAATAATACCCAAACTGGTAAATATCTTATTGTAACATGCATATTTGGAGTACTGTTCATTTTTTAATGCACTTCTATGTGAGATGATAGTCATACAATAATAAACATTTCCAAAATTTAACTAGGTTTTATTATTTTTTTCCCTGAATATTACATATAAATTGTTCACCTTCCATAAATATTTTAAAAATTAAGTTCAAATCTGAAAAAATACAACTTAGTTTCTCAATATAATTATATTTATAGTGTAGATGTCTAGTGATAAATGAGAGCTTGCTTCCTTAAAAATTCAACACTAAAAATATTCATCTTTCCATCTGTAGAAAAGATTGGGAATGAAAAATCAGAACAATAAGCTTAGACTTGCCAAAGAAATTCTATGTAGAAGGGTATTAACTCTTGCCATCTTTAATATAAAAGAAGGATGTTCTTGTTTGTGACTGAAAATTGTGAGATTTTACTTAATTTTTAAAAAATATTTTTAGGTGCAGATGGACACAATACCTTTATTTTATTTATTTGTATGTGATGTTGAGGATTGAACCCAATGCCTCACATGTGCTACTACTGAGCTACCAAACCCAGCCCTTTACTTGATTTTTAAAAGACATTTTTATTCATGTTTATTTGCTCAATATAGCAAGAAACAAAAAAGTGGTATAATGTATGAATTTTACTGTCAGTGTGCCTTGTGTTGCAGCTGGAATCACAACTTCCTTTTCAGTCCAACCTCAAAAATCACCTATGTGGACAGGGAAGCCAAAGACAATAAGAACACTGTGTGTGATTAAATGATCACAGGAATAATCTGTCCTAAACATAATTCAGTACAATTCTGACCTTTTCAAAACCTTACTAATCTTTTGACCTGTCATCAGGTCCCTTCTCCAACCTAGTCTGCACAATAACATCAATTTTTACAGGTGTGTTACTTAAATAAAGGCAAATTATTATTACAATAAATTAAAAATCAGGTAAGGAAGGATATCAAGATTAATGTTCACAGATTAATATAGCTGAATCATCAATAAAGCCTTTACCAAAGAATCTGAATTTCCACAATGCAATCTACTTTAGTTCATTGGCTTCTAGCTCTGTTTTTAACCATCTGCAGTCTTTCCCCATAGAAATAGAGCCGATGCTGTTGAGCCCCTGGCAACAGCCTTTGAAAGTGGCTGTTCTATATTTAACTAGTTTGACCTATATGCAAGTGTTCATCTTCATCAGCCTGGACTGTCCAGAATCACTGAGGGGATGCTTCTTATTATGAAACACATTTATCCTCTGTGGGATTACTTGGGTATAGCAAGCCTTTTCTGGACATAAAGATTTGAGAAAGATATCACTAAAAAGGCTGGCTCTGATTAAAATCTATCTAGAAAGTCTTTGCCAATTTATCCCCCCCCCCCCAGTTACAGGGATCAAACCCAAGGGAGCTTTACCACTGAGCTTCATTCCCAGCTCATCACCCCTTTTTAAACAATTTTGTGACAGGGTCTCACTAAGTTGTTGAGGCTGGCCTTAAGCTTGTGATCCTATGCTTCAGCCTCCCAAAATGCTGGGATTATAGGCATGGGCCAGTGCACCTGGCTGTCAAATGTTTATCATTAGTAGCATCATATTCAAATTGCCTGCAAGTTTAAAAACAACACCCAAGTTACCTATGTAGCCAAGTGGAAACTATCATAACTAAGGTTTTACAAAATTCTTCTTTACATGGCATTTTAACTTACCTGTGCCTATAACCATCAGGGTCCATTAGACTCATTTCAGGTTTTTTCTTTTTGAACAGTTCAAACTATTTATAAAGACTGATATTTTGTATCTTTTCCTTTTTACAAAACTTCCAAAGAATAAAAAGGAAAATGTATTTTTTAAAATAGAATAATGCTCATTCTATCTTTCAATAACCACTGAATCTTCTTATAAATCTAAAATACATTATGCTGTTGCATCATCCTAAAAATTATGTCATTGTCATTAATTATTTCCAACTATACTAAAATAAAAAGAAAATGGTGCACTCCTATAATCCCAACAGCCCAGGAGGCTGAGGCAGGAGGATTGGAAGTTTGTAGCCAGCATCAGACCCTTTCTCAAAAAAAAAAAAAAAAAGTGTCCTGACTGCTCCTCAGTAGGAAATGGAATACCATACAGATATTAAAATGACTTATATGAGGCTGGGGATGTAGTTCGGCTAATACAGTGCTTGCCTTGCATGCACAAGGCCCTGGGTTCAATTCCCAGCACCAGGGGGAAAAAAAGACTTATATTTACCAATACAAATAGAACCCAGAAACATAATATCTCATATTTTTAAAAAATCTAGTTATTTCCTCTCAGTCCCTTAAAAATGATATTCAATGGGTGTCTTGTTTCCATTATTTCTGTTGAGGAGACAGCTGTTAGCCTCACACTGATTGGATGGGGCCTGTCATCAGGAGGGCAATCTGCTTTACTCAGCCTACCGATTCAAAAGTTAATTTAATCCAGAAACACCCACTCAGACATAACCAGAATAAGGTTTGACCAAATACCTAGTCACCCTGTGGCCTAGTCAAGTTGACACATAAAATCAAACATCACAGTTAGTAAACTCTGATTTGATTTTTTTTTTTTTTTTTTTTTTTTTGGTACTGGGAATCCAACCCAGGGGTGCTTACACTGAGTTACATATCCAGCCTTTTTTATTTTTTAATTTGAGACAGGGTCTCACTAAGTTGCTTAGGGACTCACTAAGTTGCTGAGGCTATCTTTGTACTTGTGATCCTCCCCTCCCAAGTCTCTGGGATTTCAGGTGAGCACCATCACACCCAGCCTCTGGTCTGATTTTTAAGTTAATTTTATTTTTTTCTAAGACTCAAATCCTTTGAGATCTGACAATGCAATCCTGCCATTCTACTACTCTACTACTGAGCTGACTGAGTGTAAGTAAGCTAGCTTTCTGATCATGGACCTTGTGTGTGTGAATAAAATTCTGTAAGTCTATACATGGATTTACCAACCACCACCACCACCACCACCACCACCACCCCCGTCCCCCTGCTTCAAAAAGATAAATGAGTTCAAGTCTTTGAAAGTAATGCGGTATAAAAGTGTCACTTGAAAATATATTCATGATCTGTTTTTGCAAAACCTTTGGCTTATACAATCATCTCCCTTTATGTTATGAACATGTGGGTAATGACATTTGCTCACATCATGTAAATCCCACATAATCTCTGGGGTAGTGTAAAATATAAACTAAGTACTAAGTAAACTTAACCTATAAGCTGTTTGAAAATATAGAACACAATAACAAATTTGCCTCCATAACTCTGATTTTATTCATCATATAAGTGGGAACACATTTTTACTAAGTTATAGTTACATTACCCTCCTTTGCTCCTCTTCAGCATCAGCAAAAAGTTTGCGAATGTTAGCTTCTGATTCTCCCACATATTTGTTGAGGATTTCTGGCCCATTGACCACTTTGGGCTCTCTTGCATTCAACATCTTGCCAATTTGTCGAGCCAAGAGAGTCTTACCACAACCTGGGGGCCCGTATAACAGAATGCCTTTAACATGTTTACAACCTGAAAAAGAAAAGAAAACAGTCTTACACCATCTAAAATACAAGTAAGACATTTAAGGGAAGGTTTTCTTTCTTCTTCATACGTACTTAAAGTAAAACACAGTAGTGCTATTTACATATATTAACATCCAGGTGCCATGAACAGAACAAGAATGAACAGTGTCTCTTTCTCTCTTTAAAATAAAATTCAGAAACCATTCCTAATACCAGCATTAATGTCTGAGGGGAAAAAGCTGCCAGCTTTTGGAAAAATATATTAGAACTAACACTTAGAACAAACACTCCTAACTTGGAAAATGTCTCTTTGATCTAGATATGTAATTATGAGATATTAATTATTTTCATTACCTTTTAAGGTTGGGGGTGGTTAACCCAAAACAAATCTGTCATGATGTAGGCTATGGAGAGTATAATGCATAGAATTTTGGGTCCACCTGTCAAGACAAGCAGTTGAACAAAGGGACAAGCATGCTGAATTGGATGAACATTAGAGGAATTCAAGGGTCCAGATGGATGTCACCAACTCTGTGAACAAAGCTGAATTTCTTTGTGTGACTAATGTCAAATGAGGAGCATGCTTCTTTAGAGCAATCCAGGTGAAAATATAGTTTCAGAAGCAGCATTCAATTATTTTCTAGGCAGGAATGCTAAATGCCTTAAAGATTCCATTAATAATCCAAAACAGCACAACTGAGGATAGAGACTCCCCAGGTGTCTCTAGCCAACTCATCTATTTAATTTCTAAAATGAAGATCTATAACCTCTGCCTATTCCTCTGGGTACCCTCCCCCTTCTAATAGCTGCACAGTTAAGGTGCATGGTCTCTTTCTGATAAGTTTTTTCTTTCTACTACATATACCCAAAAAAGCACTCTGAAATAATGTGACTTCGGTGTCACAGTTATAATTACGGGTGGAAAAAGTCCTCTGGAAATGCTATGTACATATGTGTGTTTCCACAGAAAATGGTTTGTCTTTATTTGAAATGTCAGTCTGAAAAAGTACATCTTTAAGAAAAGAGTACAACAATGTATTACTTATGCAAAATAAGTTATAACTTACAACCAACTCTATTAGCAACTTTAGATTCTGAGGAGGAAGACCTTTGGTTTGCCAGTATGATCTTTACATCTATCCTTACTTCAAGCAAAGATTTCCTTTTAAATCCTCAAAAGAACTAAGATCTGTGCTTAGAGTTTAGCTTGTAGAGAGAAGGGGGCTTAGTGAAAACCCTTGAAGACTCAGAGACATAACCCTTCTCATCACAGGTTAATCCCTGCCCCAAGAACCATGGCCCAATATAATGTATTCATCCTTTGACCCACCCTTCAAGCAGGAGTGGTGGGGAAATGAGGGGACAAGCCTTGAGCTTCTCCTAGGGGCCAGCACCATCAAGCACTGTCAGCATCCAAGTCACTGCGACCCATGGGCTGAGGACTTTGGAACCTGGCTCCTGATCTTCTCCTCTAAGCCAACTGCAAACTATTCATATGTCTGAACCACAGCAGAGGCAGATGGGGGGAGAGGAGGAATAGGTACAAAGAAAGGACAGTCAGAAAGCAGAAAGGGAAGATTTGCTGAGTACCTGCAAAGTCCCAGGCCTTATCCTCATGCCTTGTTTCTTGACGTTTTACTTTCTCCTAGTTTATTGCCTCTCTCTTCACCTGCTTCCATATTAAGCCATACTTTCTTGGAAGGACCCTTAATTCCCTGGCCTTTTTATATTTTGTCATGCCCATCCTGTGAGCCCTGAATACAACATGGCTTTATTTATCCACACACTGGCCACAGAGCACCGCCAGAGAAAATTACACCACCATGCTGACTGACATCCCCTCAGTGTTATGCTAGCCAATTTCAGTTCCATACTCGCTGCTTTCTTGATTCTGCATGCCACTCTTTATTTGTCTTTGTTAGCTCCTCTCTAATTCTCCTTATTAAATCTTCCCTGTTCCTTTCTTCTCAAGAACTACTCCATGCCATTAATTCTTAGAGATGACCTAGATTCCTGATTCCTACTTCACATATTAGAAGGAGGAGGAGGAGGAGGAGAAGGAGGGTGGGGGGAATGGGAGGAAGAAGAAGAAAAAAGATTATCAAGCACAAACTCCCTTCATCTTTCTGCTTCTCTATCTACCAACTGTTCAGCAGATGCATCCATTTTCAACTTCAACTTCAGTTCTCAAAAGAGTTTCCTTTCTCTTCTCCAAGGCTCATATTGTAATTATTCGTTTATTCACCTTCTTCTCTATTACCTGATGCTCTACTATTCAAGGGCAAGTACTATCTTGAATTGAAAACGTCCAACATAATTCCTAACACATAATGTATACCTAATAAAGGACTGAATAACTAAATGGTGGAAAACACTCAAAGAATATGATGGAAAGGCCATTTTTCAAAATTATCTGATGCTCTTAATTTATGGAGCAATGATGTCTTTCATTGATGAACTAATTAAAATACTGAAAGAAAAAAGACATTTTTAAATAATTGAGACTTCATTAATTTAGCAAAACAAACTTTATAATGTATAAATAACAGAATCCTAACTTTGCAATTCTTTTTAAAAAATTTTTTTAGTTGTTAATAGACCTTTACTTTATTTATATGAGTGCTAAGAATCGAACCCAGGCCTCACACATGCCAGGCAAATGTACTACCACTGAGCCACAGTCCCAGCCCCAGCCCCTGCAATTCTTTTTGTACATGGAAAATGCTCAGTTTACTGCATTTCGAATTCAACCGACTCAGATCTTATAAAATAAGTAATTCACAAAGCATTACCCTGAAGGTAAAGAGAAAAACAGATAAGATGCATATATGTAGATCTTATTATATATATACATATGTGTGTGTGTGTGTGTATAGATAGATAGATAGATATGTATATAAGTGACAGAACATATTCAATATAACATCAATAGGGATGTCTTAGAAATTCTAGTCTGCGTTAGTACTATAATTCTTTTAGGATCTCAAGTAAGAACTTCAAAAATATACAATGACATGTGAAGATTTTCAAAATCCACTTCCACAAAGGAACTGGTTACTTGAATAAGCAGTGGAAATGGGACTTTGTTATGACTATTATTATTATGGTCTATTCTGACTTATTAAATAAGCTTTGGTCTCTAATTTTAAATGAGTCATAAAAACTAATTCCATTCAACAAAAGTGTATTAAGCTCCTGTTTAGACTAGGTACTAAGGTAGGTGTTAGGGATACAAACATGAAAAAGACAGTCCCTACCTGCAGGGCATTTATGGCTTAGTAGGAAAGACAGAAATAAAAATAAGTTATCTATAATTTAATATGACATATCAGAGATATGTATGAAATGGTTTTGGAATCTAGCCAGGAGAGACTGATTCTGCCAGAGTGATGGCAGAAAATTAGGAATGGACACAGGGGAAGAGGTAACATAAAATCTGGGCCTAAAAGGATGAGTAGGTTTGTGGTTGGACAGCAGAGAGGAAATGACACCAAAAAGGGAAAGACTCACACTGTCAAAGGCATAGAACTATGGACATGGAAGCTGTTCTCTCAAAACAGCCAGTGACAACTAGAGCTTTTGAGGGGAAGACAGTCCTAAGGCGACGGGGCTGTGGCAGGTCTTGACACCATGAGTTTTTAACTTGTTTTGTAGGCAATGAGATGTGATAAAAGCTAACTCTGGTGGCAGAATAGAGGAAGGACTGGGAAACAAAGGTGCAGAGGGTGGAAGGCTGGTTGGAGGAATGTTTTTAACCTTTTCCTAGAGACACTGATTCTCCATTATTTTTGCTAGTTGAGTTTTCATACCACTCCTAGTCCTCTGGAAGCACTTGAACAAACAGGTCCAGAGGTCTCAGGAGGACACCTTCCACTGTTGCTGACACCCCAGCTTTCTCCTGAGCTTCTCCAGGACATCAAAGCCTGGTTCTGATTCTGGGCAGCCTCTGATCTTTAGCTGCTGGACTGTCTGACTGCTGAGCTATGCTGACTGCTGCTCCCTTTTTTTTTCCTTTGCTTTATCTTAATATCATGCAAGTCCCTCATAACACAGAAATCAGTACCTGGATTAGTGAGTTAAATATAAATAGCAAAGGGAAGGTATAAAAGTAAAAAATCAGTGGAACTGATTTAAACTGTCTCATTCTCTCATTCTGTTTCTCACTTCCTTTCCAATGGAATAGTCTAATGGAGCCCTCCACCCCCTGAAAATGCACATGTACAAAATTTGCATATAATTTTGAGGGGATTCTTAAAGTCTTTGAGGTCAGTCTACGGAATTCAAATTAAAAACCATGAAAGTACTATAATCAAGACAAGAGAGAGACTAGGAGTAGAAAGTCAATAGTCATAAAAAAGAGTAGGAAAAGAAAGAAAAGGAAGACATGGAAGCTATTCATTACAGCACAGAGACAAAGGAGAAATCAGAGAAGGAGAAGTCAATGTTGGCCATATGGTTTCTAGCGGGGGCACAAGAGTAAAATGATGACAACCTCAGAGATACCAAAAAGATGGCAAGAGGAGGAGCCAGTTTGAGGAAAGCATCACTTTGTTTTTGGCTATAAGGCATTTGAGATTTGGGCAGTAATGCCCATTAAAAATATAGGCTGAAAACTCAGAAATCAGAGCTACTGGTTCTGACATCTTAAAATATTTTTGGATGCTTGCTCTGGGCACATAAAAAGCCACAAAATGTTTTAGGCAAAGAAATGTGATGAAAGGGACACATGCTGCAGAGATAGGTGATGAGGCATGGGACAAAGCCACTGGATATAAAAATCCAGAAGTTAATACTGACTGAGGCCACAGGATCTTAGATCAGGTCAGAGCATTTGGGGTTGAGGTACCCTTCTTTTTACATAGAAGGAAGCTGAGGAGTCTAAGCAGGCATGGAGTTCACATTTTCAGGAACTCCAGCAACACAGAGGGATTCGGAGGGTGGGTGAGGGGACCAGCTTGCCAGGATGCCTCTCCTTCTGAGACTAGTTAAATTCAGGAAGAATAGGAA